CTGAGAAGGTGCTATTTAAGAGACTGAGCTGAATACAGCTCCTCAGACTGAGGAAGTCTCTCGGATGAGAGACGAAACGTTTCTACATTTTTTTGTTGATTTGCTTTGTTTTGTTTTTTTGAATGTCCAGAGGACCAGATTTAACTTTTTTAGAGTTAATGGCAATGTTTTTAACACAGACTTTATGAAATCAGTTAGCGCTCAGAGCATGTGCTAGGGAATAGTCTCAGCTACTGCCATGCTGTATTTGAACTTAAAATCAGTCAAATTAGCTGAGTTACAGCCATCTTTGTGTTTGCTAAGATCACATTTCGTTCAGCAAGTTAACTCCAAATGTTTGTCCGTTGTAGATGTTCACAAAGTGATTTATTTATGAGAGTTTCGTTCAAATCCTGCCACGGCTAATGGCAACAACTAACACGGGTACAAACATAATGCAACACGTCTCCTTTGCGGAAAACAAAAGCTGAAGCTCACTTTGGGCGTCATGTTGTGCGTGATGCAGAACTGCAGGTGGGTGAGGATGCTCTCCATGCTGTGGAAGCCCTGCTGCCGAGTGGTCCTCAGGTACTTCTGCATGGCCCGGGCCATCGGGGCGAAGATGGCCTGAGCTGCCTCCCGAGGGTCCATCACCTCTCTGGGGTGCTTCGGAGACGAGGCGGCCTCGTCGTCATGGAGACGCTTGATGTGCGTGAAGGCCTCCTCCACCGCTACAACCAGCCTACAGCAGAGTGACAGGACGGAATTGACACGATCGAAGGGCTTCAAACACAAAATACAATAAAATTAAATAAATCAATAGATTAAAGTGTAGTGAACTAAGCCTCAGAATGAATGAAAGAATCCGTTTAAATGAAGGATAATATCAGACGTATATTATCTCATTACAAAAGCAATATTTTGATTTGATTTATGATGAAAGAAATATTACTGCTGAACAAAAAGTACAGCAACCATTAAGTGCAGTGGATATTCTTCACTGGCTGCTACAACAGCACCGGGATTGTAGTTATGTAACATAATTCAGATAAAGATAGTTATTTTCTTAAAGGGCGCGTGTGGTGCAATTATAAAGAATAAACGCCTCATTTGCAGCAGATACCAGTCAGAGCAATCCCAGTAAACAAATCTCATTAAGGAGCTAAGAACTAAAACCTCAAACTCCATAAAGTGGTTTGACCAAATACTTTTTTAATCGCTACAAACTGCGCCATAGTTTTGCTAAAAACACTGTCAGTAACTACTGGGGTCAAGCTTGTCTGTCTGTTAGTAAAATATCTCAAACTATTGGTTGGATTTTCATGAAACTTTCAGGAAGTACAGCTACAACTGATTAACTATTGGAGTCAGCCCAGTTCAAGACGGCCACCACAGCTAGTCAACCGTAGTCACACAAAGATGGCTATAGCTCAGTCTCTACAAATACTGAGCTAAAGTTTGGTATGGTAGTAACTGAGAGTCATTCTCAAAACCCACTATGAGCTCTAACAGATTGTTATACTGTTTGAGAATGCACATACCGTAACTTAATTTAACATTTTTGGGCCAAACAGCCACAAATCCATCATTTTTCATCACTAGATGATTTTGGTCTGAAACCTTTGGCACAGATGGCAGCGGGAAATATGCCTTTTTTATTTTTTTAATGCTAGGTCTTTAAGGATTCGTTCAGATTTGACTAAAATGAGCAGTTCAAAAACTGTCTGGACAGGACTTTTGAAGTAGATCGCAATGAAATAATTAAATAAAACCAGATTAAAACTGATAGCCTTATTTAAAAAAAAAAATCTGTAATCAGGAGTAACATTTTCATGTGGGACTACAATAAAGTATGCTCATACTGCAGGTTTGTGTTGAAAACTGACATTTATTCAAGACTTCCCCAAATAAAAGAACGCAGCGAACAAAATAAAATAAATCTGACATGGACCTGATTTTACAACGATCGTGAGAAGAAGAACGTGTAAGAACAGGACTAAGCGGAGTCATTTAATTTAAATTGGGGCTGATTCTCAGATTTAACGTGATGCAAAAACCTTAATGACATCTGGACGATCCAGCTGCATCAAACACACCTTCGTTTTCACTACATCTCTGCTTTTTTTAATATGCACGAAGCAGCTATTAGGAAATGAGGATGAAAAACTAGTTTATAGTGATTCTGATGTAATTAAGCCTGGAGAACGTGTTTGCAGCTGCTGACCTGGCCTTGCGTTTGCGGATCCTGCGCTCCATCTCTGCCTCCTCGTAGTAGTACTCATTGTGGGAGTTGTCTCTCCGCCTGGCAGCAGCTGCTATCATGGCCCGTGATTGGCCCGTGGAGTTATTGGTGGCGTTTTCTACAAGACGGCACACGCAGACGAAGGATTGATGGATTGCATGTCGGGTATTCAACAAACACAATCAGAGGAGAATAAAAGGAGAATTATGTCCTCATCTGAACCTTGACGAGTTGACTGAGGTACAACTGAGCTCGTACGATGAGCATGAGTCAAATTACAGTTTCTGACACGATGAAGTCACGGATTAAAGACAGGCGTCAGAGCCGAGACTCACCGTCCAGAGAGTAAACCTTGAAGCCGGTCATCTTCTTGGATAGGATGGATTTGGGGAGATTGACAGTGGCGGGGTTGTAGACGGAGAAGTCGCTGTAATAGTGGTCCAACACCCACACAGCTGCACGCTGGATGCTAAAACACACCAGAGGCAGTTCAGGTCGAACATCAGCTGCTGACAACCACAGTCCAGATAAGATGCATATAAAACAAACGCAAAGAATAAAGAATAACTACTAACATAATTCATGTAACGTGTTCCTAAAGCACAAGGAAACATTTTAATTGCAGCTCATTCCAGAGCAGCTTTAAGATAAAGTATCTTCAGCATCAGCTGGTCCTCTGGGGCAGAAGATGGACAGTAGACAAATAAACCAACTGCAGCGCAAACATTTCCTGGATCTTTCTCAAACTTGTTCTTTAGCTGAGGCACACAGACGCTCCTCTTTCACTTTTTAGTTTTTTGTGAATTCTTCAAGAAGTGAAGTGAGAATCTGTGCGTAAAAGAAATCAGGTGGAGATGAAATTGAAGGCAACCTGGCGGTAAAGCTCAGCGGTCCACTCGTGAGCCGAACACCTGAGGTTCGTGCTTCTGTCACCGTAAATCAAGGCAATTATTTCCTGTTTGTGGCTTCTTCTGTAAGTTTCTCTCAAACTGCTTTGTGCTTTTTGAACCAATTAAAAGTCAAAAATATTCAGCTCAACTGAGAACTGTACGCTATAACTTAATATTCTTAGCTTTTATACATTTCAATATATATTTAACCTAATTTAAAATTTTATTCCCCATAAAAAATGCATTGAGATCTTTTCAATTCCTTGAAAAACCTTAGATTTAAAGTCTACTTCTGCATATTTGCTCTTTGTCGTTACTTGGAGTTGTCCGGAGTTGCACGTTTAGCTTATAGCCACAGTTTAGCACATTTTAGCTTGTAGCTATGGTTTTGCTCATTTCAATTTTACTCGTTTCAACTTTTAGCTACTGTACTGCTGATTTCAGCTTCTGTTTTGCTTGTTTAAACAAACATTTCAGCTTCTTCAGCAGATTTCAGGATTCAAATCTCTGTATTTGTTTTGTGTTAGTGAGTCATAACGTGACCCGCTCTCTACCATCAGTCACTCACCTGAGGTGACCCACGTTGTAGAACCTGCTGGCTCCGTCCGTGCTCCGGACCACCTTAAGGCAGAAGGCCGGCTGCAGGTGTCGGACCTCCAGCAGAACCAGAGCCAGGTACTGGATGAAGAGCAGGGCATCGACCAGCGAGGCAGCGTACTCCACGATCCCCCTGTAGTCCGGCTCCCTGGGCTCCAGCACCCGCACGCCGTAGAACAACCAGTACGACGCCACGAACAGGAACACCAGCACCATCAGCAGGCAGCGGAAGACGAAGAAACGAGGGAGGGTGGCCCGGGGAGGGCGAAGAAACAGCGCCCAGGAGGAGATGAGCAGGACCAGCAGCTTGAAGGCCAGGGAGACGTAGAGGCCTTCGCACGGCGTGCCGCAGGGGTTGAGGGCGTCCCGCCACAGGACCTGCGGGAGGATGAGGAAGGCTAGAGGTGTGACCAGAGCGAAGAAACTCAGGCATCCTCCCAGCGCCGGGCCGACGAAACGCTTGCACTCCAACGGTGTCGACTCCTCCAGATCTTTGGTGAGGCGGGTCAGGTCCTCGTTGGAGATGCTGTGCTCTGAGGTGCCGGTGACCACGGTGGTGGTCTCTCCCCAGTTATCGTCCTGCACGACAAAAACTACGATTAGCGGCAGTTCATGCAACTTTAAAAACACAAGCAGAAGTTAGGTTTCAAAATAATACATATTTAAAAATAATAATAATAATAATGTCTCTTTTTAAAGTAACTAACAAGGTAATTATCAGCATCAAATGTAAATACTTCATATGTAATAGCTGCAGCAACTTAAAACATTAAAACGTGACGTTCTTAGAATCAATTTTCGGATCGTTGGAGTTTCTGTTTTTAAATAAGCAATTAAAATACGCAGTTAATGAATAAAACTTGTAAACGATTTGTAAAATGTTTTGCAGCAAACGCTCACAAACCCTCGAGGCGCGCAATTTGTCTTAGAAGTTATGTGGAAGGGTGACAGCCCAGTCAAGTTTAAAGTAAACACAAACGTCTCTTTGCCGTTTAAATTTCAGTTCATCCAGAAACAAACACGTCTTTCCTCGAGCGCCGCACTGAAAACACGCGTCCGCATTCAGAATCGTGCGTCTCCTGCACGTAAAGAATGTCGGCACCTGTTCTTCGTCTGCTGACAGGACTGAAACAGAACCAAGTGACATTCATCAGCGAGTCTTTGTGATGAAGTCACACAGCTGCTGTGGTCCCAGTCTGAGTGAGATGATGACAGGGCTGCAGGTCAAAGGTCAACTGCGAGCTCGGAGTAACTTCAGACAAATACACAGAGCTCAGTGTGAATAAAGAATAGGAACTCTGGTATGAATCGTGACAAGCAGGGCTCACTTTCATAGGATAACAAATATATTGATAATATTTACCACATGCACCAGTTTTAGATGGTAAAACATAACGGAGCTTTATTCATTACAGCTGACTGGTAGTTTTTAGTACAAGTGGGAATCTTCAGACACCTCTCAACTGGATTACAACTCAGAGCTGGAACATGATGATAAAACAATATTAGGTGTGTTTCAATGCATTCTTATTAACAGTCCAAACTAATTCATAGGCACTATTTAGCTGTATACAAAAAGTGGTTTCATTAAAATTATATTTTGGGAATTAAAAGTAATTTTCCACTTTCTTCTTCCATTTAGTTTTAGTTTTTTTGGCTGTTGGCAAAGTCACGTAAAGGGACATTACCGCCACCTACTGGATCGGAGTGTAGATTGAAAGATTAATAGATTTCTGGTGGCACGCTGGTGCAGTTGGTAGAGCTGCTGCCTCTCAGAGAGAAGGTCGCCGGTTCAAATCCTGGCCTAGGACCTTTCTGGGTGGAGTTTGCATGTTCTCTCCGTGCATGCGTGGGTTTTCTCCGGGTGCTCCAGTTTCCTCCCACGGACCAACAACATGCATGTTAGACTGATCGATAACTCTAAACTGTCCCTGGGTGTGAGAGTGAATGGTTGTTTGTCTCTGTGTCCCTGTGATGGACTGGTCCAGGGTGTCCCCCGCATCTTGCACAGTGATAGCTGGATATGGACACCAGTGACCCCCGCGACACAAAAAGGAAAAAGCGTGTAAAAATAATGGATGTCTGTCCGCTGTCAGCCATCTTGTTCTTGTGTCTCTGTTGTGTGGGTGTCATAAAACGTTTGGACACCTCACCTTCACATCCCAGAGTTCCCTCTTTGTCTTCGTCAACATTTAATAAAAAAATCTATTTGTGACATTTTAAAAATGATCCTGAACCCTTCACGTCCGCAGTGCATAAAAACCAGATTATAATCTCGCCTCCTTGCATTTAGATTAGCAAACAAACATTAGAGACAGTGAGGCTGACCCGGTCATCTCCGCGGGTCGACTCTGCATCAAGAAGCGGCTCCGCGGGAGTCTGTATGGTGACGGATTTGTCTCCACGGCTGCTGGAGTCTCGACTCTTGGAGCGATGGCGGTCCCTTCGATCCCTGGAGACAAGAACACAACAAAGGACTGGAGAACTTTCTTTTCCTGTTCACCCCCTGCTGATCAAGATGGTGTTACTTTTCTCAAAACTCAGTTGCTTATTTTGGGTTTCTTTAACCTAAATTACTTTGTTTTACATTTTGGCAAAAAAATAAAAAATCTAAAATTAGAGCAGACAGAGCTGAACATCTGCACCAGTTCCAGATGCAGACAATAAGTTCTGCTTCCTCCTGCGTGACCCGTTCTTACCCACCTGTGCTTGCGAGAGCTTCTGGAGTGGGACGACTTGTACGAGTAGCCAGAATACTGCGACTCGTTGTCCATGTCTCGGGACGGCGGTGAGCGGGCTTTCCGAGCCCCGCCTCCTGCCCCGGTGCCGCGCGGCTCGCCGACTCCTGCCAGCTGGCTCTTTCGCTCGGAGATGGACCTGGGGGAGAGAACCAGGGGCAGCTTCAGCAGGTCAACCTTGCTCCTGAGGGACTCTATCTTGGAGGCTGATGATGAGGAAGGAGAGAAGGGGGAGGAGGCTACAGAGAGGAGGACGAGGAGGGATGGGAGAGGATGAAGGGTGGGAGTGTCGCAGTGGGGGACAGCTGAAGATGCTGAGATCTGAAAAGACAAAAAAGGCAGATTAAAACTTTATGCATGTTTTTGTTGCCATCGTTTGTTTTCATAATTTAAAACGATAAAGCAAAGGGTTTTCATGCATTTGTGAATAAACATTTATTTTTCACAAAAGAACACATCGTCTCAACTACGAATCCTAAATTACACATTTTCATCTGTTCGATTCTAAACGAGTGTTGACTCGTTTTTTTTTTGTTTGTATTTTAGGTGTGCAAAGTGTGATTCAATAAGTTTTGACAATGTGTGTGCACAGATTTATCTGAGATTATGTAATTTGACTGGGGGTTATCGAGCGACTGACTCACATGAACGATACTGGCTAAATAAAAAACAAACGAATTAATAAACAATCATTCGTGCTTCTGCATACTTCATCAGCAAGTAAGAAAAAAGATGCAGCACTGTAGCTCACAGTTTGAGGCAACAACGTGCTTCTATAGATTTACGGAAACAAGTTCTTCTAAGTGTTGTTAAATAATAAAAAATAATAAATAAATAATAAAAATGATTTCACTTATTGTTGTTTTTGTTTTGTACGTCCCTCCTCCCCTGCAGAATGTCAGCGTCACTATGTGCAAGTTTTTTTTATACTTTTCATGTTATCCATCTTTGACCAAAGATTGAGAGCCTGTTAGGAATCCCCCCCCAAAAAAACAACAACTATGTTGTCACTTTCAACACTTTTATTGTTTGTCCAAGCAGGTCTCACTTGTAAGAGTCTTCGAGGCTCAATGTGATTTATCTGTATAAATAACGGTTGAACTGAAAATAACAATTGTTAAACAAAAAAATTTCAATATTTCCCAAAATAACTAAAGTTGTTGAATATCAGCCTTCCTAAGATCTGCAAGGTACACAAAATAACTCATATTGGACAACTTCTAGTTTTAACAAATACTAACAAAAAGAAAAGGCAATCACCCACCACAGATTTCCAAAGTCTGTGTTTATATTTTTTACATTATCAAAACACAACAAAATCAAAAAACACTCAGTTTATGTTGTAAACATTAAAACAGGAAGGGATTTTTTTTTTCCTGGCCTGCTTTACTAAAATAAAATTAAAAAGTTTTAATACGTCCAGTTTTTCAATAACACAAATGATGAAAAACAAACAAACAAACAAACAAAAAATCTACTTTTTAAATGGTTTCCAGATTATTTATTCCAAGATTTCCAGGAATGGTTCGTTTTTCATGAAGGTGCGTGAGTTTTATTTGGCAGCTCTGATGTGAAATAACCCTTAAAGAGCGTTTGTATTTATTATCCACTGAGGGAGTCGAGGTCTCGGCCCGACAGACCGAGTCCTGTGCTCCATCCACGCTAAACACCCATTAACCCCGGCGACCCTGGCTTCGGTTTCTCTGTGTCGTCCTCCAGGTCCTGGTTGAGGTTAATCATTACACGGATGCAGCTCCTCTTCAAGGAGCGAGCTTCAGCCTCGGTTAGCGGCGGCACAAAGGCGGCCATACTGGATTACGGTGTTTTCACTCCACTTGTTTGCCCTCTCCCAGCCTCGCTCCGGCTCACATTCCCTCCCTCGTGTCCTTCGTCCCCCGAGAGACGGGGCCTCTCTGCTGCCATGGCGATGAAAAAGGGTGTTCAGATTGGAGGAGGAAGGGGAAAAGAGACTGACAGTTGTCATGGAAACATGACCTCAGGATGCCCTCTGTCAGTATGTCCTCCAGGCTAAAGGAAGATCTTCAAAATAGAAAAGTTGGCATGAGGGATGTCCGACTGTCAAACGCCGGTTAGCAAATAAAGAGTGGGCGTGGCCATTTAGCTTTGATTGGTGATCTTTGGGAAGTGGAGGGTCATCGGCTGCCATGACTCTCACTCGGTGTTCTGGTTCAGCCTTTTAAAACCAGCAGATTTTATTGCATCAGTCGGTGGGATTTCTAGTCGTTAACTGGAAACCATCACCAGAACGGAGACCATTACGGATCCCTGCAAAACCTCAACATGTTCATTTCAAACAGCCAAACTCAAAAGACTAACAGCCTCCTCCGGCTGTATGATCATCAACTTTTATCCGCAATAATGCCAGAAAAATTAGCCGAGTCGGGCGGTGCTTTAAGGAACAGGAAGTGAAAAAACATGTCATGATCAATATCTCAGCAGCACCAGAGAGAAATCTGCTCTTTCACTGCCTCGTATGTGAGAAGGATCTGAGTTTAGAATCATGTCAAACTACATGACGTTACACAGAGAAACAAACTTTTAGAATAAAAGGCCCAGCAGCCGTAGAAGGAATGCTGATCTCCTGCAACAGCCATCTTGAACTGAATTTCCTCCACGATGTAATCAGTTGCAGATGTACTTCCAACTAGTGTTGTAGTCAAGACCACCTAACCCGAGACCAAGTCGAGACCAAGACCAGAGTGTACCGAGACAAGACTGGTCTCGAGTGCTACAGCACTACGTCAACGGTTACATTCTGAAAGTTTCAAAAACATCCATGCAGTAGTTCATGAGATATTTTGCTAACAGACGAACAAGACGGTCTCCGAGAGTTAATGTTAAAGATGCAAGCAGAGTTCACTCAGTAAGTACTCCTTGGAACATGTGATGCGAATGACTCTCAGCTACTACCATATATATATATATATATATATAGAACTGGCCAAATTATGGCTATTTTTGTGTTTTCTAAGGTTGGTTGGCTGTGGCAGCCATTTTGAATCTACTTGTCCCTAAAAGTTCATCACTTGTAGCTAAACATCCAGGGATTATTTCCAGGAAGTTTCATTACAATCCATTCAGTGTTTCATGAGATATTTTGTTAACAGACACAAACATCACTGTCAAAACTTGGCTCTGCTTTGAAGCATCTCAAGACGAGATATTCTGATCGTTGATGAGCGAGGACCGATTCACACAGAAGACCAGATTTAAGTCGAGTTTCATGCTAAAGTATTTGCCCATCACTGCCACACACATTTTTAGGCAGATAACAAATTAAACGTAGTGTTTTATTTACAGAAACGTTTACTTTACTCTCCAAAACAACAACAACCAGGTATTAATGTTAATCCTGCGGCCTCCAAACTATTAATTAGATCATAATTACAGCAGGGACTCAAGTGAACGATGAAGGAGTCGTGTTTGTGTTTCCAGGAGCAGATTTACTCGTAAACATCTGTAATTTCCACATGTAGCAAGTCAGAGGAGACTTCTGTTTGCGTTTTAATCTGCTGGGATTACCACGGCTGAGAAACGCAGCGGATTTCACAGAAAGCAACAGAATACCGTCAAGATGGATCCAAACGCTTTCAGGTGCAATTATAGAGCCAAGAATAGAAATCTGAAAACGTCTCTCGATACATCTGCTCAACTCAAAGCTTTTAATGTCGTTTATGTTTTCTATTATTGTCTTTGATGAAACAAACTATTGATGTACGGTATTAAATTTTTGGCCGATATCCAATATGTTAAAACTTATTTGGCCTATAACCGATACCAATACCGATATATATTTTTTCGTAGTCCTACTTAAAGAGACTACACAGCTTTCTCTGCGGCAAATGCAGATGTCAAAAAGGGGGGCTGAAATGATGTAACACTTCAACTTGGATTATGTTTAATGTCAAATTTATTCATGACACTTACTCTCTCTAATAGGGGTGCACCGATTGCAGTTTTCTGGCGGATCACCGACTTCTAAAAAGTCTGATCTGCCGATACCGATTTTGTTTTATAAGCGACACTGTCAGGTGTTATAAGGTCACAGTGCACCTTAATAATAATAATAATAATAATAATGTCATCACAATGTCAGCACTGTATGTTTCCATACAATGGCGAAATTAGTCTCTGCATTTAACCCATCCACCACCAGGTGGTGCAGTGGGCAGCTATTGAAAGCGCCCGGGGGGCATTTTGGGGATGAGGTGTGCTGCCCAGAGACGCCACAATTTTACAATATTATTTTATTGAAAACATACCCTTCAACAATATCCTAGAAACAATACAAACTTGTTTTAACTGGCCATGAGGTAGTGCTCTGAAATATAAAGGAAGTTCAGACAATTGTTAAAACAAACCAAAAAAAAAATCGGTTTCTCGTGCGAGTATCGGCCGATTTCCCAAAATTAAGGAAATCGGACGATCAATTTATCGGTGCACCCCTAAAAACAGTGCCTTTAATACTGTATGTATGTATATATATATATATAAAAACAACGCCTTTTATATCGGTGAGTTATTTTGATAGAATATGTAACTTTATCGCTAATATCAAACGATACCGATACCATGGCGATAATATCGTACATCCCTAAAACAAACTTTTAACATGCCAGGATTTTTTAAAAATCTTGTATCATGCATTTGTTTTGAAAGATGCTACAAAAATAAAGACTATTAATCGCCGTGTTCCACACAATAAAAACAGACGCAGAAGTTTCAATGCAACAACAAAAGCTCGTCCATTAGTCGTGCTTAAACGCAGTTGGACACCTTTAACGGCGAATTAAAACGATTTCATCGTGACACTCTACCGTCCGTGTCAGACAAGTTCATTCCAACGGGGCACGTTTAGCACAGCAGCACGGCTGATTTCGTAACTTCAGCGCTTCGCAGGTTTACGTGCTCTTAAAAGTAACAAAGGCCGAACGCAAACATAAAAACAGGTTTGACATTAAAAATATATATATTTATGTTAATTTAGGTTGCTGTTGTCCAAGTCTATATTCATGGACCCCCTTGACTCCAATACTTTGGACTGAGCCCGTCAACTTGTGTGTTTTTCTGAGTCTGTAAGTGAGAAAATGACACAGCAATTGATCTACAAAAGGTGTGGTCCACTGGTGAGAAGGATAAGGTTTCCTATTCATCCGTGTATCCTTTGGCCTAGTGGAAGGATCGCACCAGAACTCGCCTTTCAGAAAAAATATTAAGTTCATCCTCAGAGTTTAACGCT